AAAAAGTTTGTTTCAAGTTCTTATAAATAATATTTTTTAAAGTACAAAAGTAATAACAATTAAATAAATAACATTTACATAATATTTCATGGACATTAAAACTTGAAATTCCTTTAAAAAAAATCATTATTTAGATTTTTTAAGTGTTTGTTAGACGAATTTATGAGAAATCTTGTATTGCATCTACAAACTTTAGATGAGAAAACTAAAAGCTATTTGTATATTCCCTACAAAGTTAGGGATTTTTTAACTGTCGTAATTTTGATGAATTTTGTAAAAATTTGAACTTAAAACGTCTATATAATATATTGTACAGGAAATTGAAGTTGATAGAATAGTTATAGGAATAAATTTAATATTAATTACTTTAGCATTATTCAGTTTAAATGATATGTTCTACATATTATGCATATATTTTTTACTTTAAACTAAATTGAATGGTGAATAATTATGCTTATATGAGTATAAAAGTTAATGTTTTTGAACTGGATATCTATAAATTATGATTAATGATTATATTGTATAACTACCTAAAAATGCTTAGCAATGGATATTATTTAATACATTTTGACTACAGCCTTACTTTTGTTGAATCTTGATTGAAAATTGAAAAACAAATAATTATTACAGTTGTTGTCGGTTGACAATTATATAGAATATTATCGATAACATTAAATATTCAACGTATTCGTTCATTGATACTTGATTGAATAGTTAGGTTAACAATTTTCTTATATTTTGTCACCGTTTTGTATGAAATAAATAAAGAAAAGACGTTGTAACATTATAACTATATACCTCATTAGCTCAATTGTAAACAAAAACATAAACATAATTCGATTGCTAATTTTTACTTACATAATATATTTAATAAAACAATGTTATTTAAAAATTTTACATTTTTTAGTTGATAATATATGCGTCATAATACATAGTTTTTAACTTATGCAAATAAATACAATCTTAGCATAATATATTGTATAGTTCTTATGTGATAAATATTAATAATATAACGTTAATGTTCAATCTTGATCTTTACAGTTTACGTTACCTATATCTTAATAATTTAATATATAGTTAGACTAAATCACGTAATATATACAATATAAAATTATAATATAATGGTATATTCATCATAATAATATGGTAGCTATCATCATTGTTAATAATAACTGTCGTTATGAAATACTTGTGCACGTAATATCACGTACTTATTTAATAATGTATTCAGCGCATGTTTAAATTTAAAATACTTCCCTTAATATGATAGTGATAATCGTGTTTTACTAGTAATGTCTATATCAATGGATCTGACTTTAATAGTTATACATATATTATATAGGTACACCATAGACATCTATTAGATATACTGTGATAACATAAATGAAGAACATAATAAATAAACATACACKTCAGTCGGGAAACACATATAGGTTATAACCTAATATAATATATGAACATTATGTTCGAAATTAGTCAAAATATAAGGCACCTCACTGTTTATGTAGTGTTCTAATACTTATGTATAAAAAGTTCATTTTTAATAAATATAAAATATATGAATATGATTAATATTATTTTCCTGTTCATGTTCATCATAAACGAATACTGGAAAAAATGTGAACACAAAAATAAAAGTATCTACAATAAACTCATTACTCAACTATTTAGTATTTACTGCCCATATATTTTAATATATAAAGTATTTAAGAGTTTCATAACTATAAATATAATGAAATGAAAACAATATATCAGTTAATTGTTTGATAAATATATTCTGTTTGTGTACATAAGGTTAATTTAATCAACAATAAATATTGTCCTGTAGTTAAATTCTATTTTTAAATTCATACATTTGAATGTAAAACATACATGTTTATATTATATTTGTAACAATTGGAACTTACTATGTTAAATGTAATTGTTTATTAAATCGTATTAATMAGTCAATTAAGTTGCATTAATTTTAGAATTCAAGAAAAGCTGTGTGATCACTATTATGCCTAAAAAGCGTGTTTTAAAAGTTTGAAATAGGTAACCCCTCTTAAATTAAATTAGACACAAATGTTCCAAGAGTATTTTTTGAGATTCCTCGTCCATACAGTTTTATAAAAAATTCACGAAAATATATCGAGAAACCGCTACCTTATGGGAAATTCAGCGAGTGTACTAAGTTCAATTTCTACTGGAAAGGATCCTAGGGATTAAATTTAAWWAAAATGTATTAAATTGTTTCCTGTACCTATATCAATTGAGTCGGTGGAAATAATATGATTTGAAGCACTAAAAAACCAAAAGTATGCACAAACAACCTACTTATGCGCTCAAAAGTAAACAAATATGCACCAACTATTTCTAAATTTTTTTTTTTTTTATTTGCATTTTATTAAAAAATAATTATAGCAAAGCGATTAAAAAATTTCTAAATATACAAAATAGTCTTAGTAAAATAAATTCACAATTATGACTTGAACGGCATCAATCGATAATATACATAAAATGTTAAACATGTGAGTACGCCAGGTATACTATACGTCTATACATCTATAGTCTATACCCATTATGAAAATTTAAGTTTTTGAATTAAATATCATATTGAAAAATATTTAATATTATAAAAGTGTATATTAATCATAAAATTAAATTTTCTATTTAGAATAGCAATGTCATTTGAATCAAATTTGTATTTAAGTTATTTCAGAATTTAGAAGACAATAAAATTAAATAGGTTTGAATCAGTAATTACAAGCTAATTAGRTACAATAAAATAGGTGATAACCTCACTATAGGTCATGGTCTTTAGTATCTTGGTTTTAAAGTGGTATTCATACGATTAGGATTTACTACTTTTTTATGTGTATAGTGTACCTACTTACACGGAGTCATGGAAAAGTTATAGGTAGTTGTTATGTTACAACTTACAACATGTCTTTTCACAATAGTATTTGCCGATTTTATGAAGTCAAGATAAATGGTTTCAGTAATCGGAAGTCCTTGCTATCATTCATCTTTTGATTTGTCATGTTGAATAAAAAATAAATATCTATACACTATTATGATTGTACTATGTTCTATATTTAAATATTATGTAAAAGTTCGTTTAAATTTTTTTTCATGATTTTTTCCCACCTATATTTTTACTCAATAATAATTTATAATTTAATAAAATAATAATAAAACATTCAATTTTTTTATGATCTTCACTTTTTAGTCTAAATTTGCTTTATTATTTTTTCAACCAAAATATAGAGTTTATAAATACATAATTTTAATTTTAAAATAAGTTTTTAACTTAACCTACCAATTAGTTTTTTTTCTAAGTATCTGTTAAATTTTCAAAGTTGATGGAAATGCCTACATTTTCTTAAAGATAAATATAATTTATAACATATAATAACGGTTGTAATAACGATTTTTTAAATTTTTGGCTCAAGTTTATGTTATAAAAAWTTTTATAGATATTTCGGTGTTTTCTTAATCAAATGCTTGGTATAGGTACTGGGAATGAATTGTTGATGATTTTATGTAATTTGGCTCATTAATGACAATTGATCACTATGCATTTGATTGCAAAATTTTATTTGTATGCAAAAATAGATTTCGCATCTGAAAGAAAATCTTCACAGCATGTTGGTACCAATTCTTTGTTGATAAGTTATGAGAGACCTGGACGAGTTATTCATATTTTTGCTTAGGTAGGTACTTCCTTATAATAATGATACTTTAATATCAGAATGGTATTTCTAATTTTTATGTTGAGTTTTACATTTCTGAACTTATTTTAAATAAATAGTCATGTTATTTTTTTTTGAAAAGTAGTTTGAAAATAATTTGCTTTGCTTTTAGGTATATTAAGGGTCTCTGGTGTTGTTGTTAAKTTTATTTTTGTTGAAAAATAGTTTCCAACTACCTATTCCACTACTTTGTATTTAAAAAAATAATTGTAGATTTCTAATAAACAATAACTCGTGTAACAGAAACATTAAATGATTCGTAACTTTACTGGAATAATTAATTTCAAACACTTAATCTATTAAATAAACGATCTACATAATTAAATATGCATACTTCTCACTAACTGTATGTATTAATTAAATCACTACAGATAGTTTCAATCATACTTTATCATGATGATTTTATTTATAGCTMTGTCTGTCGTTAGCCGAGTGGAGAATTTTGAAGATTAGTTAAACATGTCATCCTGATGGTGATCAAAATAATGGCTGGTAAATGAGAGAGCGAATGGGGTGCTCATGGGTTGCGCGTCTAGTAGCAAAGACGTCTTCAAGTATCGTCATAACGCGATTAAAAAAAATAATACTGTTACATTGGACCGACTTTTACATGATCAAACAGGTATTTATTACTATTACTTCTATAAATATATGGAATATATCTTACCTATATGGTTATATACCTACATTAAACGTTTATACTTAACATCTTAAAAATCTAAATTCAAACTTCAGCTGTTTTATACGTATCATATTATATGTTTAATGTGCAGGAAATACACAGAAACACATTAGTATTTTAATATAGGTAGGTATTATATGGTAAAAAAGATAATTTAACTTAAACAATACTATTGTCTTGGTTTGAAACTTTATATCTACACTTAAAACCATCTATATTGGCTAAGCATTGCTTATATTGTTCTAAAGAAATAAATAATTTTACAATAAAAATTACTTACGTTTTAAATTGAATATTAGTAATTTGTACAGAATATTAAAAATTAAAAATATTCCAATGTGTAATTTATTATTTACTTATTAAAAATTAATGTAAGTTAAATCCAATAGCTACTAAATACTGCCAATAGTTCTTAAAAGTCAAAACGTTTTAATAATGAATAAAGTATTATAAATACATTATAAACTTTTAAACATTTCATTATGTTTTTTTCTTAAAAGTCTATAAATATAATTAATAATATGTGAATAAATATTAACCAATATAAATAACATTAATTTTATCTTTTATAATTAATTAATTTTTGCAATTTCTTTTTTTTATTCAAAGATTCACTTTTCAAAAAATGTTAATTTTATAGGTAGGTAGTTTAATTTTAAATATTTTCACACCTAGCTTTATGTTCAACTTACAAAGATTACTTTTTCTATCATATTTATTTATATTTAAAAACAACAATTTTAAGACTAAAAATGCCTAAAGACAGGTTGAATTATTCATAGATTTAACGTACTCGATATGTAAATTTTGTCTTYATTGTAGGGTAGTTGTAATTTAATAATGTTATTAACAAGTAATTCAAATTTATTATTCATGATTTATAGCTATTTTTTTTCATTTCAATATATGTATATTYATTTTTAAGTATTTATATTTTATTTTATGATTACATTTCTTAATTTAAAAATTAATAATATATAATTAACAAAACAAATTTATTTTGAAATTTAACAAAATAAAGACAAATCATTAGTGTTTT